GACATTATTCGTGGGTGCAGGGTAAAAAGAAAATAGAGAACTTGGGGCTATCCCAAGTGCAGCAACAAATTGGAAGAGCTGCTGGCAATGTGCCCAAACAATAACAATAACAAAAACAATAACAAAAAGAAAAACAAAAACAAGAGCCACAGCTATGACTGCAACTGTCTGCCTGTTTGTCTGTCTATCTGTCTGGCTGTCTGTGGCGCCCTTTTACATTGCCCCCGTTGCACGTTGCCACCTTCCGCCGCTGCCAGGCCGCACTTCCGGCGTGGCCGTCGTCGTTGACGTTGCGTCGCGTCGTGTCGCGTCGCATCGCAAAAAGTGCAATGCACTAAAATTGAATTTAAACAAAAAGAAAATGCACAAAGCAAGCAAAAGTAGAACGCTCTATCGATGCGGCAGGGTGAGAGGTGCGAGGTGGGAGGCGTTTGCGAATTGAAAAAGAGACTTGCCTCGCCTCGAATCAATACGAATGCGAATGCATTTGCCACGCAACGAAGGGGCGACTGTTTCCATGCACAAGCTAAAAAGGCCATTCAACTTGCAACAGCATATTCACGTGTATGTGCGGCATGCGGCATGCGGAATGCTGCATGCGGGGGTTGCATTCAGTTCGGGTTGCATTGTGTAACTAGCATCAAGGTTAAATATTTGCATTTTTATAGAGCATTTTGTTTGCATTCCATTTAGCGGGGTGTTTTTATTTTTATTTATTTATTTTTTTTTCCGCTGCTGCACTCTCAACATGCCGCACTCTTAATGCCCCAAAAGCCCCGAACACTAATTTAATTGAAAATCGAATCCTGTGGCAATACGGCAACAATTAATTGCCTGGCATTGCAGCAACATATAAAAATAAACGATGTGACATTAAGCAAAATACACCAATGGGAATTAATATGTTACCTAAATAAATATATAAATGTTGTACAGCTGTTGGAAAATGTTAAATAAAGCTGAATTAATTTAAATCCAGGAAATTGGAGAGCTGTCATCAGTTCGGATTGTTTCGGGTAAGCCGCTTAAGAAAGCTCCAGTTTTATTTAGTTAATATTAAAGAATATTAATTATTTTTATGCGCATTTTGTAAACTATTTATAACGAGTTGTTTGGTAGATAAAATAGTCTAAGAACTGCAACATATTTCAAGGAATTCTTAAGGCAGAGTCTAAATTATAATAGCAAAGAAAGACTTATTCTGAAAGAAGAGAACAATTATATTAGGTGCCTTAAATCTAATATTCCTATTTTTGACATATTTCGTGTTTGTTTCCGATAGTCGATAAGTTGCAGTCGATAAAAATCGATATCGATATTCTGTTTATTTGATCGAATCTCTCAGATTTTAAGAGCTTGAGTCACCAAATTCGACATGTAGCTTCTAGATAGATCAGATCTTAAAACTTTCATTTTAGGCTCTGGATAACCCCTAGTCGGGCAACCCCGACTGGCGCACTCCCACTTGTTTGTTTATGTCTCAAGCTTGAATCGATGTTAGCTATTGATTTACTCACATTTCTTGTAATACCCCATATTACTTGTAATGCTTCTTGCTCTTGTAAATCACAACTTGTTTTATGTAGTACATTTATCCCAGGCTTATCACGCGCTAAGAACTAACATTTTTCCGCTGTCCTCTGTCAATTCCAATGATTATCTGCAGTGCTGCTCTTCTTCTTCGCCAGCTTCTTCCGCACTCTTATAGCTTTTTTTCACTCTCTCTCTCCTTTTCCCTTTCTCTCTCTCTCGCTCCCTTTCTCTCACAGCTTTGTTATTTGGCCACGTATTTATGCGCAGTCACGCTGTTGCTGTCATTTCTTCTTTATTCTTCTACCTTTGTTGTTGTTGTTGCGGCTGTTCTGAATGAATTTTACATTTTTATAGCACCCGAGTTCAGTTTATTTTTTGTATTGTTTCATCTGAGGGGTGCCTGAGGGGGCACCTGAGCGTTGCCTGAATTTGTGTGTATGTGTCGCAACCACTCATAATATATATATTTTTTTTAATTTCTTTGTACAGATTTATCACAAGTATTGCCGCACTCAGGTTGCCATTTGTCGTCGCCAGCCGTACACCCCTGCCCCTGGGCTGGTGTATGCTAGCCCCTCTCCCTTGCGCTCACCCTCTTCCTCTCTCGCACTCTTCGTTATTGCCACCCTGCTGTAGAGTACAATAAAAAGGATGCGACGCGCGAGCGCACATAAATATCACATGTGAATTGTGCCTGTCTGGCAAAAGGATGCTGGGTTAGACGCACACACACACACATATTAATATATATATATATGTATACCATATAGGCAGCATATCCTCTAATACAACCGCAGAGCCGGCAAAGAGGGCAATCACCCGGCACAGAGACTTTGCCTTTGCCTTTGGCTTTGCCTTTGGCTCTGTTCACACTATGATTTTTGCTCGGGGTTGCAATTTCTATTGATTTTCGTTTGTTTGCTATGATTTTTGCAGTTTCTTTCATTCATGTAGCGCAGTGTTAATTTTGTACCCATCCACGCTCTTGTCTTTGTCTTTCGGGCAAAACTTTAGCGACCCGCAGCTTTCATTTGCCTCAGCTGCAGCTGCAGCTGCCGGCAATTTGTTGCAAGTGCCACTTGGCGAATAAATAAACTCCGAGTCGGACTGCGGCTGCTGCTGCTGCATATTTTCCATTTGACACAATATGCAGATTAGCTGCTAATGCCGGCTGCCATCTCAAGCTGCCGCTGCTGCAGCCACTTAAGTTTGATTGATTGTCGAGTGGATGCGCCCTGGCCAGCCCAAGCTCCACACTCCACACTCCTCAGCCCTCTTCTCGCCACTCGGGGCAAACAAAGAGCCGCAGAGAAATGCTACCAAAAATATGCGAACTGAGCGTAGTTTGAAATTCACAAAGGAAACAATAATTAATTACAATATGAGTTTTAAGAGCAAAGTTTAAATATTTGCTGAGCTTAAGCTCTAAAGAAATTTTGAGCTAGTTCGGTGAACCAGTTCTGAGCTTGTCCATTGAATAACAAATCAAACGATTGTTTAGCAAGCATGAAGCTTGAGAGACCCAACGAAGTACTTCGGTTAGTTCTAGTTTATAAACACAAATCTATTTATTTTAATGGGTTCTATTTCCGTTTAATGATTTGTAGCTATATTTTAAGTAAATGCACACTACGGTATAGTTTTTAGATAGTTTATTCAATAATATATTATTTATTTGTACTCCATTTTGAGGCAGTTTTTGCTAAACAAAAAATATATACGTTTAATTTTAAGCAAGTTTCAAAACCTTCAAGCTAAGCTTTTTAATGGTTCGCCAGAAAGAACTATGCGACTATTATATAAATAAATAAATTCTTAAACTAGTTTTCGACCCTTTTTTTTAAACATTTAACAAGTTTAATAATTTGCTAACGAACCATTTGAAAGTGGTTCATAAAACGAAAATTTCAGATTTCTCCACTTTTTTATACATTTTTAAAGTATTTCAGTATTCCATATAAATAATTCTCAGGCATATGGAGAACCAGGAACCGGAAACCAGTTAAAGAATGTTACGAATCACTTTTAAATAATAGAAGTATATCAGGCTTAAAATCTTCACTCCTACCTCTCAATTAATAAAGTTATAATTAAATATTTTAAGCTCCGATTCTCTTCCAATCGAATTTTCATCTGGTTTGCAGGCCTTGTAAACTATCAATAGTTTACCCAACTTGTTTTTCATCAATTTCCATTGGAGAGTAAAAAAAAGTTTGTCAATTTACAAACTTCAAGTTTTTTATGCATTTTTGTTTGGAAATTATAAAATCTTCTTTTGCTCGGAGCGTTGCAAATTGCGTGCGGGTCTTGTGTTTAATTGCTGTTGCCAGCTAATAAATTTTAATTGTCCTCAATTAGCAGCGGAATGCAGCGGAAAATGTATTTACAACAAAAAAAAAATAAAAATGAATGGATGGCAATGCGAATTGGGGGTGTTCGACTCTTTGTGAGGCCTTCGTTAGCATTTAAAGCGCGTCCAGAGCGGAAGTTTGCAAATGCAAATATTATGAAATTCCATTAGAAAACCAAACAAAACTCAATTAAATTAAATATATTGCATGCTTCAAAACAGAGCGAATGCCATGAAACACATTTTCAAGATGCCGATCTTAAGAGTTGCCCAGCCGAAGTGAGAAATGGGAATTGAGAACCGGGCACTGGGAACATGCGGTTCACATGTGTGGACAACGCAGCGGCCGAGACGAATGCATTAAGCGGAATTTTCATTCATAAAGATTCAATTTTATTTCGCCAGCCTCAAAGGCGACCACAAGGCGCACAGAAGGCGTGCAGGCCAAAAAAAAAAATGCAAGACCAAAAGACAGGCAAACAAAGATTTATTGGCATTAAATATGGCCAGCCCTTGGAATATCCAAGCGAAATACCGAAACTGCCGTCTGTCAAACAGCACATAAAATTGAAACTTCAGACAAATAAATAAAAATATATGCATCTGACAAGGGGCATGTAATGAATGCAAAGTATGCTCAAGAAAATCTCACGATATACATTTTTTAATTATAATGTATTATTTCACATTATACTGCCACGTATTTGAACACGAACTTAAAAGAGGTCTATGAGTATTATTATTAGTATATAATTATAGAGAATTATTACTATTTATTTAAAAATTTCATATTAATTTTTATATAATATTTTTTTAACAATAATATCATTTAAACATTTTTTTTTTATTCTATTTTACTATAGTGCTATATTCAGTTATTAACTTTTTATTATTATATTTAAATTTGTTTAATATTATTTGACATTTGCCTTATAAAATTCCGGGATAAATATTTAAGAAAAATATAAATTTAAATGTTTTTCTTACAAAATATTATATCAATTTATTTTTCAATAGTAATATATCCTTTTTTTTTCAAAACTGATCAGATTTCGTCTTTATTTTGACATGAAAACATTTAAATGAATAAAAAATTGACAAAAAACGTCACAATTTTATTTAAAAAGAAAGTAAACCTATTCAACTTAAAAATTTCATACATTTTTCCATCTACCTATGGCCAATTATACCCCGCCAGATTTTATGACTTCTTAAAAAGTCTAGTTGTAAAAATTGTTTAAGCATTTTTCACACACGAACTCGTCGCATGCAAATTTTTAACGTGCATCCCGAAATTCGCTTGGAGGTCACACAAATAAATTATTTTTTGCAAAATGTAAACAATAATAAAAAGAAAATTACATTTTCTATATCAAATTTCCAGCAGAACGAATGCCTGAGACGTGCGTAGAGCGAAGCAGAAGAAGCAGAAGACTTTGGGTTAGGGTTCAAACAAATTGCATTTGCGGCTTGACTTGTCGCTGTGAGTGGAAAATTGCGTATCATATAACTGAATTTGATATAGACAATTAGAGGCAGACTGAGGCGGACTGAAGAGCAGCAAAAAATGAAAGAATTAACCGCGGCATGAATGATAATTATTTTATGGCGGAGGCTGCGGCACCCAGAAGGAAGTCGGCAATCTATGGAGATGGGCGTATTTTGCATAAACATAATTTTTTATTTGCGTTTTTTTTTTATTGCTTTTCTATATTTTGCTTTCAATTTGACCGCAAAGGCGCAGGCAAACCCAATCAATAGTTATGACCCAATATTTCACGTGTTTCTCTTCTTTCTTCTTTTTTTTTTCGACCCGATCAATGAAATTCTTTTTGTGTAACGTCCAGTTCCGACCGCAATAAGTCAAAGACGAGGCCAGCGAGCTTTATTATGCCAGGTTGCCAGGGGCCTCTTCACGAAAAGACCTCTTAAAAAGAACAGCAACAACAACTGCGATCGGCAACGGCGACGGCGGCGGCGGCAACTTGGCGTCTTTGGCTCAGACCGTAGCAATGCAGCAGATAAGTCAATTATATTGACTTGGCCAAGAACTACGGCAACGAGAGGAAATATCAAAGCTCTGAGGTGGCAAGAAGTTTTAAGCTTGTTTTTGTTGCTTTCGCTGTTGCTGTCTAAAATATTCCCACACCCGTTGAAAGCCCTCAGCGCATTGCCAGTTGGTTGGTGGATGTGGACCAAGGCGATAACATCAACACAACTGCCAATGGCTGTCAATGGTCCAAAGCGGTGCACAGTGGAGCAAGCGTGGATGAAAAGGGTTGATAGAAAAGTGTGGCCAAAGATCAAGCAACTAGCTATATTTGCTGCAACACTCTAATGTTTTTATATTATTTTAAATATACCTGAAGAGCCTCCCATTAGCTAGGGTTTCATTAATGGGAAACGTCGCTTAAAATCGAAGACACTTCTCTTCTAGCTGGAAATCTTACTCGTAAAAAAAAACACATCACTATAAGTCTTCTTTTTAATGATGTTTATTTAATTTAAAATTTTTGAATTTATCACCAAAAAAAATTTTGTATTATTGCTATTTTTAATGCAAAAAAATGAATTTCCTCTTACAAAACTTTTCCCCATGTTGAAAATATAAAATTTTATTTCAAGAAATATAATTTTCTCTTATAACAATTTTTCTTAAAATTGAAAATCGAATATTTTATCAACAATAAATATAATTACCTTTTCTATCTATTTATTCCTAAGAACTGGTCTTAAAACCAAAGGGTTGAATTTGCAAATTCTCATAAACTTGATGATTTTAAATAAATATAAAAAAATATATGTATATTTATATATTTCTCATCGATGTCAGTTGAAAATACCAACTAATAGCAAAAATAATACAAAAATCGAAAAGCCCCGTCTGGTACTCGAGCCCGCAACCCACGAGTTCCTTGTCTGCAAAGATTTAGACACTCGTCTAGCACTTTATTTATTTTTTTAAGTGAACAATTTTTCTTCAGCCTTTGCACCCAATCTCGCACCACTGTGCACCAGAGTCTTGTGCCACACTTTGCTCATGCTCCACTGTCTGTTGCTCAGACGCGGCTTTATTATTTTCTGACTGGCACGTAGATTTATGTATATATTATTTTTGTGTTTTTTTCGTGAAGCATCTTCGTAACGCTTTGAGGCTTTGTCTTTTCTTTTTTTATGGTTTATTTATTTTCTTATTTTCGCCCCAAAGTGTAGACGCAATTTACTGATTACATTATTGCTGGCAAATTGCTAGATTAAAGTTGTTGTTGTTGTTGCTGTTATTATTGACTCTTGAATTATAGTTATTAGTTTTTTCTTTTTTTTTTATAAGTTTTTCCATCAAACGAAATTTTTGACAAACAATTTGCGCAGCGATTTATGGGCGTTCAAGCAGTTTATTAAATGAATTATAGGAATTATTACAATGTTCGAAAATTCGATATTTCCAAAACATTCCAGACACAAAAATCCGTTTGATTTCTATAATTTCGCCATTTGTTCTGACAGTTCAGGAGCGCTTGCTCGCTCTTTCTCTCTATTTGTCTCCCTCTCTTTCAAGTCACTTATAAAGACAGCGACAAAAGCAAACAAGAAAGCAAATAACAAAAAACCGGCAAGAAAAGCTAAGCAAAAGCAAAATGCCAAGAACAAGTGCAGAGCACATGGCAGCAGCCGGATCAGCAGCAGGGGAAGCAGAGGAAGCAGCGGAAGCAGTGCGAAAGCGCCAGAGAGTGAAGGCAGTGAGCGCAGGACGTCAAGTCTGCAAAGCATTCGCAACTCTCTGGAATGAGAACTGCGCAAAAAGCACCCCAACAAAAAAATACACACACACACACAAACATGTGCATGTGCGTAGTACTCGTAGAAATTTTGCAGACAGTGCTGCCAATTCCTTTGCATAGTACGAATACTACAAATGGAGTATTTCGACTTGCTGATAAGCGCGGCAGCCGGGTCATGGGGAGGGTCCATGGCTGGATGGGGAGGTTGCCCCTTGGCTATCCGGCCGCACATAATTGTAGCGTCAGACGCGGTGGGGCATTTGGGGGGCAGGCGAGCGGAATCGATCGATTTTTCATGCCTGTCGCCAAGGAGGAAGGGGGGGGGGGGGGGCACACAAAAAACTGCTGCATACGCACAGGAGCAGAGCCCAGAGCTGTGTGGGGCTGCCAAATAGAGAGAGAGAGAGAGAGAGCGAGAGAGGAAGCCAGTCGAGAGCCCCAACGCCCGCTCTCTGTGTATGTGTGTGTGTGTGTGTGCGACGTGTGTGTATATGTCTAAGGTGTGTTAACCTCAACTACGCGCACACACGCACTAAATAAAACAGAGCATTAACAAATTTGATAGCATTTTTTGGCACGCTTGCTACAGGTTACAAAATATTTTAAATTTAAATAAATTTATTTATTTTAGGCGCCACTTAAAACAAAGAACTACTGTAATTTTAAGCTGCTGCTGAATATTTTTAAATTATTTTCCAAAATAATTTTGCAGCTTTGCTTTGCAGTTGGAATTGCGCTGAGATTTGTGTAGTTCACTTTCACTTTATGGCATTATTGAAAAAAAAAACATATTTGTACTTTGTTTTCATTGCTTACTTTGTTTTGAATCCTTTTTTTGCCGAAATACCAACAACAGCTACTAATCCAAAAATTATTGATTTTCATGTGGTGCTTGGGATTTCTTACTATTTTTTTTTTGCTGCTTCTCAACTCTGTGCAGCTTTCTACGCGGCGAGTTTTTCTGTCGCTTTTCCGATTGCTTTGTTTAGTTTGCAATCACTGGAAATCACACTAGCTGGCACATTTTTCACAATAAACGACACTTGCTACATATACAAATACAAACACAAACACATATACATATATGAATATAATTATTTATATTTGGGATTTAATTTTGCATTGGCAGTTAAAATATTTAATTTGGTATTGAATTTGCGGCACATTCAGAAACTTGAATTATTTTTGCATTTTGTTTAACAATTTTTCACTGTGCCCATTTGCTGGCACACACAAGCACACGCACACACATGCACACACACTCGCGCACACGCGACGCGACGTACGCACACACACACAGGCACACACATAAGTTTCGCTTTGCGCCTATGTACTATGGATGTGGGGCGACGGCGGGGGCAGATAGCAGCAGGACGGCGTGTGTCTGTATATCCTTTGCATTCAGTCGGTGCGCGCTAATGCTGAGCTCTAGTAGCCAAACTTTTGACTATCCGACACCGTTGTCCTGTCACGAGCAACTCAATCGACACAATGAGCGGCCAGCAGTCTGGAAAAGTCCTCAGAGCCGATGAAAATTGTGAAAATCTTCAACTGCCTAGGCCAAACGGAAAATTTCCCACCACCAAAATGTGCAGCGAGAGCGTATTGGAATATATTCGAAATGAGCGACCTGAGCAGAGAGCGAGAGACCGGGTTAGCCAGACGGCGAGAGAGAGAGAGAGACAGAAAGAGGGCGAGAGAGCGCACGCACGGCCCATCATCTGTTTGCTGGTCTTTGGACATCCTTAGAGGCGCACATCCTGCTGTTATTCACAGTTGGGTCTCATGCCAACCGCAGATGAAACTTCCTGACTTCCTACATTTCGTTTATACCACTTAGACTTAGACTCCCAGCTTTAGCCTATGCAATGGCCTTCTTCTTCTTCTTCTTCTTCTTCGTGTTGTTGTCGTTTATCTGTATTTGTGTAATATCCTGCATTTTCATGAGTTTCCGCTAGACTCACGTTTCAGATTTTATTTATTTTTTTTTAGTTACTTTTATTTAAATTTGTTGGGCAGCTGCATTTGATAACTTTGAAGGGTTGCCAGTTAAATGGTCGGGTGTTAAAATCCTCCAACTTCGTCAATTAGTAAGTGTTGCTTAGGTAGGGCAGTTCGAAAAGTAAACAAACTTGTTAAAGTAAATTGAATGGTGTTAAAATATCCGAACTTTTCGACTTTTCTAACGAGTTGTGAGTTCAAAGTTATTGCAAATAATACAAATTGCTGCTGAGCACATGTTTTGCTTATTATTTGTTGATTTCTTTTTTTATGGAAAAAAAACAGCTCAGAAAAACTGGCAAAGATTTCTTATGAAAATTATAAAAAATAGGCATATAAATGTGAAACTATATATTCATTATATATTATTTTATAAATTAATCACTTAATAAATATAATTAAAATATAAAATACAATTTAAAACAAATGAATAAAATTAGAACCATATAAATATGCATTACTTTATTTATTTAATTATTTTTATAAACTATATTTATTCATTTTTTATATTTATTATATATGTATTTATTATCACGCGTTATTTTATTTATATGTGTATTGAATTATATATATATTTATTCATTTAATACATTTTTAATTGTTATTATCAACTTCTTTTTATTAAATATAGATTCATTTAATATATTTTGTATCTCAGGCAATACTTTATTTGTGTTTTTTTTTTTAACAGTATTATTATTTTATATATTTTATTTTTATTTATTATAATGCTATACTTAAATTATTTCAATATTTTTATTGTTTGTATATTGCTTATATAAATTTTTTTATATATATCTTATATTTAAGGTGTCCTACTTTTTAGATTGTTTAAATTATAAATAATTTTAAACATATCCTCATATTTACAAACTAAATGAAATTCTAAAATTGTTGTTGAATATTAAGTTTCTTTCATAAAGCATATGAAATCTTCATAAAAAATATATCATATTTAATTTTAGTTTTCTCCAGCTATCTTGTTCACAATTCTTATACGATTATCCTGCGCATATCCTTTACTAACTAGAATTGCTAACTGCTTTGACAAGGCACACACACACACAGACAGGCGCACGCACACACATTAAACCACACCCTGTTTGGTGTTAGACAGCATCAGGCAAAAGCGCAGTCCAAGTAATGCTCGTAAATACTGATTTGCATGAATGCAAAAACATAAAATGAAATTTGCATTTGACTGCACACCGAGTCGCCTGTCGGGTGGAGACGCGTAGGTGCAGCGAGGCGCACCGCAGCGCAGCTAAAAATTATAATTCGCCACAATATGATATCAAGCATATAGAAAGTTGCATGTGCAGCTGTTTAAAGGAGCGCCCAGAAGCGACAGTTATGCACACAATAAACGCTCGCATAAAGTTGCTAAATTTAGCATGAAATCAACGTGTTGGCAAAAAGGAAAAAAACACAAAACAAATAAAAAATGAAAATAAATAAAATAATAAAAAGGACGCGTCAGGAAGTTGGCTCTGCTACAAGGCAATGACAAAGGGAAATGGTAAGGGAAGGGAAGCACGCAAAATGCGCGCCATATGATGAAGTAAACACACACACACACACGCACGCACACACACACTAGCAGCGCGGCACAAAGTTAGCCAAAGAAACGACAAGAAAAAGGGCGAAAAAAGTGCAGGCAGCGAAATGGGAACACGCCAAGTGGGAAATGCACACAAACACACTCACACACTCCCACGTAGGCAGAGTTGTGCACAGATGTCCCGGAGTCTGCAGCCGCTATACACACACACACACACACACACACAATCACAGGCACAGCCAGTCGCACGGACAAAGTACCGTTACCGTCAAAGAAAACCGTCGCACGTTTTCCAATCAGAAAAAAAGCACCGCACGCGACGCCAGCAAACGGAATTCTGAGTGGAACTTGGCGTTTGCGGCTGGCAAGGAGCGCAAGCGGAACGTTTTGGCAAATGGAACACACACATTCAAGAGAGGCACGCTCTGCAAATAGGCAGGCCGCAACAGCACAGGGTGTCTGTGCGTGTGTGTGTGTGTGTCTACGTGTGTGTGTGTACCCCACGAATGCCTGTAATTAAGCGCCAGCAATGCGTAAGTTTTGGCAATACTTGTAGGGCCAGGGCCAGGGAAAGGCAAGTGCCAAAAAATTGGATGGGGTTTGGGCTTACGGGTTAGGGTTTTGGTCTTGGTTTAGACTACGAGTCTCGGGTTAAGGTTGTTTTAATTTCAAATTTAAAAGGAACGCAATTAATTAACCCAAAGCTGTGGAATTAAAATGTGCAGCTATAGAACCAAAAATTAAGGAGAGTGGAAATGTGTGTTGCTTGAGGGGCGGTGGGGTAAATGTTGACAGTTGGGCTGGCAAAAGTTTAGTGGCAAACTGACAGGTACACGAAATGTGAGTTAAATTTAGCTAGCTTCACAGAATTGCAATTAGCACAAATGCAAATAAATGTTGCCCGAAGCGAAACCTGGAAAAGGTCATTTTAATCAAATAACATATTTAGCAATAAATTTGGCCAAAAGATTTGCTGTCAAGCATTTAGTAGAAAAGTTCAACTTGAGAACAGGCTCTTAATAGCCTATAATAGAAAGCATTTTAAATATATTAAAAGAAAATTTAAGAGTTACTTAGCTCAATCCCGATGCCCATTTCCTTTAGGCATTGGAAGAACTTAATGAAAACGTGTTTCATGCAACAGTGGAGAGAATTTATTTTAAACGTGCTACGGGCAAGGCCGGGGTATACCCACTATTATCCACCTGTCAAAATTTCCCACCCTCATAACTCGGTCAAAACTCAACTGATTTTCATTAGGTTTGGCTTTTTGTTCATGTTTTGACTTCTAGATCAATTTGGCATCTAAATCTTGCAACATTATTTTTGGTCAAAATTCACGTGAAAATTGTACCGTCAAATATCCTATATAGACATAGGTCAAAATTTCCAAACCCCATAACTCGGACAAATCTCAATAGATTTTCATAAAGTTTGGCTTTTTGTTCATGGTTTGACCTCTAAATAAATTTGTCATCTAAATCTGGCAACATTATTTTTGGTCAAAATTCATGTGAAAATGGTACCCTCAAATATCCTATAATAATATAGGTCAAAATTTCCCAACCCCATAACTCGGTCAAAACTCAACCGATTTTTATAAGGTTTGGGTTTTTGTTCATGGTTTGACCTCAAAATAAATTTGTCATCTAAATCTGGCAAAATTATTTTTGGTCAAAATTCATGTGAAAATGGTACCCTCAAATATCCTATATAGACATAGGTCAAAATTTCCCAACCCCAAAGCTCGGTCAAATCTCATCAGATTTTAAAAAAATACAATTAAATTTAAATCAATAATATATTGATGAAGCAAATAATAAGATAAAGTTAAGATATAATAAATCAAATATTAATATAGAAAATGTATAGTATAGTTAAAGTATAATTAATAATTTATTATACAGCAAACGCTTAATGATATACTTCTATAAATTAATTTAAGTAGTCAATATCCAAAGGAAAGTAGGCATTGGGGTCGAGTTCCACACCAGAATGTTTGCTTGGTTATGTTTCTTAATAGAGTACTTCATATAATATATTAAATTATAATAAAAAGTGGAATCATATTGAATATAGCAGGCAACATACAAATAATACAACCCAGTTGGGATAAAACTCACCCCAAAGCCCGTTCAAAAAAACTAGGCGCCTAATCCAACTAATTGACCCTTTAATACTTTACGAACAATAGTCGTTTCTACTAGAATATTCAACTTTTTTTAGGAACTTTTTGCTAGTATTATTTCTTTTCTCTTAAGCACAAACCTACCCTCAAGCACTGCCCATATTTAGAAAACTTCTCAATTTTTCGGCACTTTGAAGTGCCGATCCCACGCTTGGCACAATAATTTCCCATAGGTGACATAAGGT